AATGATAGACATCTCACCCAGAGAGAAACACCCAACTCTACCTCCCCCCGCTGATTGGGCGGCGATCGAATGTCAGCTCTCCTTAGTTCTTCCCCCCGGTGTTCCAGTGCGCCAGCTGGAAAGGGGAGAGTGTGGCGGGCCCACCCAAGGTGCCAGTCTTGGGCGGTGTCCAAGTTCCCCCCAGCTCGATGACTTCTGCAAATGAATTACGGGATGGTCCGTCAGCCAGATTGCTTTTGGACTCAACATGGTCGATATAAACATGAAGTTTCAGCTGTGCAGCGGTCAACCAAAACGATCCTACGAGAAGGGCACTGTCGGGTTGTGGGGAGTAACCCTTCACCAAACTGGCTGCTGCGCTGTCATTATCCACAAAGAGAAGTATGGATCGTTCGCGAATGTAGGAATCCCACAAGCTGAGCGCCCAAAGTGGGGCAACCAACTCAAGTTGTCCCATATAGGACTTTCTTGGACGCCATGCCTCCACCATGCTCTGGGGAACTTCCTGCGCTGAATAGAGCAGGCTGTGGGTCTCTGGAATGAAGAGAGCTGCTCCAACCAGGCGCTGGGGTTGACGGTCTGGGACGTCTGAAGCATCAGTGTACAGAACAAGGGGGGGGCTGGTCCACAAGGAAAAGCTCCCGTGAAGGACAGTGGTCGAGGAAGGCGAGCATCATGTGGAGGGACCATTTGAGATCGGGGGTTAAGCCTTGATACCGGTGCTGCGAGTACTGTCGCATTCGCAGAGGACCGGTGCAGCACCTCCCAACTTTCCCAAACAAGGTGGAGCATAGGAAGCCGAACTTGCCAACTACACTGGCTGCGGTGGCTGCGGAAAGATGCTCCTCTTTGAGAACTTGTTGAATAGAATTACGGAGGTTGGTAACTCTGGAGGGTTTTGCTTCCAGGAAGATTCGACGTTCTGCTGAGAGGCTCTGGGTAGAAAACATGATACCCAGGATGGCGCAGACCTCAGATGGGGGTTGCGACTTGTCTACGTCGAGTCGGAAGCCGAGCTCTGTGAAGAGTGCCTTGATGCAAAACAGAGCCGAGTCAACTGTTGACGTGGGCTTGAGGCAAAAGAAGTCGTCAAAGAAATGATCTGAGAAGGTGTGAAACAAACGAACTGAACAGCGAGAGACCCACTCTGCAACTCTGCAGAAGTTTGGGACTGAGTGCCCAGCGCCAAATGGCTGTCCGAACATCTCGTGTAGTGAAACCTCATCCCTCACTGGGTTGTAAACTGCTGTGATCGCAAAGCGGACGTCGGCCGGGTGCAAGGCTATCTGTCTGTATGCTGCCTTCATGTCTTCCGTGGCCAGTTTGATGGACGAGGAGTGCTCTGCAAGTGCCCGGAGCATGACACCGATGTAGTCGACCATGGTCATGGGTACCTTCTGCAACCGATGGGCCATTTGGTTCACACCGGATGCGCTGTGGTCATCTATGCGACGATACTTGGTACCCTGTGCCAAGCCGAAACTCGGTGCAACCTGGACTTCCGTGCCATACTTGGCATGCACTTGGTCCAGGGTGAGGGCTGGGCCCATTGTCCCGGCCTCGACTTCCCGTTGGGTCTTCTCCCAGATGGCTTGCGCCATCTCTGGGGGGCCCTTCCGGGCCATGAACCGGACTCTCTCGATCATGGCCAATGAGCGCTCTTGACACCCGTTAAGGAAGGTATCACGCGACATAGTGGGCCGAACTTCGAAAGGCTCAAAGAAGGGTGAGGTGTGTGCCTTGCCTGTAATACGCATCCCTTCTAGACACAGCGTAGGGACTTCTGTGTCTTCTATGCGCAGGAGAGTTTGCAGGTGCTCCATGAGGCAGGTGTTGGGTTTGATACCCAGCTTCTGGGCCGTCCAGGCTGCTGAGGCATTAACTCTCGACTGCTCGGCCTGGAACTCTGCTTTGAGCTTCCTGACCCTGGCGAGCTGCTCCAACCTGAAGCGAACCAGGGTTGAAGGATCCTTACTCAGAGCACGTAAGCACTCATGGTGATCCTGCTTGAGAGTGTTCATCGAGGAGAAGGGATGTTTCAATTGCTTTGCAAGCTGGAGATGAGCTCTGGCGTCATCTAGCCCGTTGGGGATGAGTTGCAACCTCTTCCCATAACTGGGCTGTTTGGCAGCTTCAACTGCCTGTGCGCGTGACTCCGTCTGCTCCACTGGAGCGTATAACGGGGGTTCTCTCAGTTGTCCACTATGCGGGATTGCCTTGAGACCCATTGAGGGTCCAGCGGGAGAAAGCGATGCTTCTGGCGGTCGGTTTGGAACTGATGTGTCAAACAGCTCTGACTCCTCGGGTCCTGGAGGCCTCACTGTGTTGGGTGGCACTGGGGGGTATACTCCCCAGGCTCTAGCCATGGAACAGGACAGTGGCGCATTTGGTCCAGAGAAGACCTCTACGAAGGATTGAATGTTACATTGTACACTACTTGACACTGCTTGAGCGTACTCTTCACAAAACCCCTTGGGGTACTCCCTCTCCAGGCCTGTTGCGAAGGATGTGACTCTCCCTTTCTGGATTCTGGGTTTCCAAGAAAGGTGGGGTCTACCAGTACGTGTGCAAAGCCTGCTACTCTTACAAACCAAGTTTAATGTGCTAGCCAAATTTGGGATGTTGTGGATGAGGACCTGTGCTTTCCTCCTCTCACCTCCCCGAAACATGCATGCATGGTATTCCGTGACCCACACCCCTGCCTCCGACTCCAACTCCCTCCAGGATGCGAGATCTCTGGCGATGGAGTTCTTCGGGTGTTCCAGGGTGAAGAACTTTCCGGATCTCTTGGCCTTCAGGCAATTCAAAGCGGCCATGTCGGCCATCCGGGTATCCAAATCGAACTTGCGGCGTTTGGAGGCGGGATGTTTAAATACTACCTCCGGAATACCATTCGGGAAAACTGAACTCCTAAGAGGGATAGGGGGGTTGGTGACTCCCGGAATTGGTCGTTCACGAGCTCGGGAAAAGGTGCAACAGTTCGGGGCCCAATGCTGTAGGTCAGATGTACCCAGGTCCCTTTGCAACTGTTCCGTCTGTTTAAAGACGTCCCTGCCCCTCAACAAATCCCATGGTTCGGCGACCTTTTTCTCCTCTCTCGGAGGATCTGTTGCTTTCAAAAATTCTATGCCTCCCGGAGCACGGGTCGCGCGCACTCCCGAGAGGAGCTGTCCCTATTTCTTGCCGTCCTTCCCTCCCTTCTCCTTTTTGTGCTCTTCATCATGCCTGCGCTTCTCACGAGTCCACTGCTTTTGCTCCTTCCGGAACCCCGGTGGGATCTGGCAGCGTGGCTCATGGCGCTTGCGACAGACGATGCACATGCGGAGCTTCGGAGGCTCTCCGGACCTGTCCTTGGCGGCCCGCTCCGGGGTGCGCGACCTCTTCGTGCCCTTCTTGTCTTCCCCAGTGCTCTTGCTAGTCGACGGCCTCTCCTTTCCTTGGTCTGGGTGGCCCTCTGGCTGTTGACTGAGGAGCTTCCAAAGGGGCTCTGTCGTGAACTCCCGGGTGTAATGGCTAAGGCCGGCCTCTACCGACCCTTTGCCTTTGGCCACCCACTTCAGGATTTCACTGAAGATCTCCCTGTCTGCACGACGTGCCTCATTCATGGTGGGATTTCGCATGCCCTCCGCGGTAACACCTCGCAGGCAGGCCACGATTCGCTCACCATATGCTTTCATCACATCGTACTTGCAGACATCGAGGATATGGAATGCCCTTGCTCTCAATTCGAAGAGGTCCTGCAGGGCCACGAGGTTGTCGACCATGACCGTCTCCGGGAACTCGACGTCCGCGTCGGTCATCTTCAGGCTCTTTCCATCAACCACCAGCTCCTTCTTGTCCTTCGGCAGCTTGCCTGCACGTCTCAATCGAGACTCCACTTCCATTGAAACATACGACTCCCACGCCAAGTGCTGGAAGGTCCCGCTCGGCATGAAGGTCATCTGCACCTTGGTGAGCGTGTGGAGCGAAGGCCTCTCTCTGTCTGACGTGGCCTCCGGCATGCCTGTTTCCACTGCCTTGTCCTCAAGCTCCTGGGCGTGGGCTAGGGTGATCTTGGTCTTCCCTTCACCCTCTTCCCCGGCTAACCTCTCCAGTTGGCGCTTTGCCACCTGGGTGGAAAGCCCCCAGAGTTTGCGGAGGCAGCCTGTGTCCGGCTCGCACTTGTAGTCGTCCCAGGAGAGGATCGTCGGCTTGTCGTAGACTACGATCTCACCGTTCACGTCACGGTAAGCCCCCCTCTTCCGTAGCACCTTCTTGAGGTAGTCCTCAAGATCAGCACTGGCAGGGAGGCGGTATGCCATGGCCTCGAAGGTACTGATCTTGTCTGCGGCCATGACCAGAAAGTCACTCTCATGGACTTCGAAGCTGACCGCAGCCCTTCCGAAGGCCAGAGTCGACTTGGAATCCGCCATTGCGACGGCGGCTCCCGAATCCGGGGGGTGTGGGTGTTCGATCCACTCATTGGGGCATCGGCACATACGTCTACAATAGAGGTGCACACGTCACGTCCATACGAAAAGACATGGATCCCCAATGGAAGCTCCAGCATTGCATGACACTGTGCGAACTGGGTTGCATGGCTACATGGTTTATAAACAATCACTCTGGCACCCGAATTTTGACAACTCATATCAACTGGCTTAAATGTCGTGATCTAGCACCTCTTCGCTGTGCAGGGTGCACCTGTGCCTACTGTCTGAATCAAAACCTGACTCACTCGGGTTCAGATGGCCTTCTACCTGATCGCCCCTGCACCGTCGCCCACAGCGCAAGATGATGCGGCCGTGCTTCTTTAGCACGAAGTCGCACAGCAAGGGGCATGAGGAGGACTCCACATTCCTCCCGAAGCACTTGTTGCAGAGCTTGTAGTTCGCTCCCCAGCTGTGATCCAGCTGGAGTTCCGCAAACCTGGAACCCTGGCTTCCGCACCTCGGCAAGCCCTCGTCTCGGTGGGAGGGCTTATGGATCCTCCCCGCCCCGGCAGCCAGCTGCACAAAGGTGTGGTGCATCTCCAGATCGGTGGTCGCGGGATCCTCTTCGCTGTCGTCCGAATCCGGTCCCATCTCAACCCCATTGGGAGTGGTCTCGACCTGCTCGATGGGGTAGTCCTCGTGACACTTCGCGGAAAGCTCCTTCTCTTTCTCTAGGGTCAGCTCCAGCTCGCCCATGTCTTCGGCTCCGGCGCCGCGAAGAGCTGGTGGGAGGTTTATGACAGGGACCGCGCAGTCACCGCTGATCCTTCGCTCTCCCTGTCCATCCTCCGTGCAAACTATGGCGCGTCTCATGGCGTCCGCCCCGCGTTCCGCCCCGCTGGACTTCGGCAACCTGTTCTCCTCAGTGAGGGTTTCAACAGTGGCCCAATCGGGTTGTCGCATACTGTCCAACTCCCGGCCCTCCAGGGTTTGAATCATCGCCCCGCGGCGGATTTGATCCAGCACCTCGATCTGCGCCTTCAGGACCAGTATCTGAGATTCGCGGAGGTACAGGTCTGGCATGAGCTCGGCTGGATCCTTCCAGGCTCCTTGAAACCTCACCGTTCTGGTGGTGACCTTAAAGTGGGTCATGTATGTGGGCATGGTTGTTTTGCAACTATGCCACCTCAGGTGCAGGGCCTGTTCCCTGGGCATGATTTCCTGATTCCCGGCGTCGATGTCTGCCAGGAGTGCATGTTTCACTGTCAGGGTATCCTCGGAGATGAGGGGGGGGTACATCTCCCACCCTTCAGTCTTCCCCGCAGCTCTCCCGACAAAGGAGTGTGTGCGCCAGTCGTGGCCATGCATCACCAAAAGGAGCTCCACCCACCTGATCAACCACTTGTCGTTGTCCGGGTGCACTCCCAGGAGGCTCGCGGCCCATGTCCTGGGCCCAGATTTGGTGTAGGCCGCCTTCGCCCTGAGTCCCAACACTCCCGTACCGCCAACCATCCGACACCATTCCACGTCACGCATCGCTGTTCCTGCCAAATCTGAGTGGCGAATGCTAGACTGGGTGCAAAGACGGAGTTTGCCGCAAGCAATGCGGGTCTGAAGATCCCTGTTCTCGTCCAGCACCACCTTCTCCAGCCAGTCTAGGAAGCGGATCTCGAAGAATGGGGCTGGACGGCGTTCCGGGGACTTGCTCACGTAGTCCGTGCAAAGCCTTCTGACTCGGGGGTGAGCACAACCGGGTGAGTGGTACCCGAAGAGACCTCCGAAGTATTCCACAGCATACAGGAAGCTCCTCGGGGTGTAGAAACCTACTTCCTCCTCGATCAGGCTGATGATGAAAGCCTGAATGGCCTCAAGTCCCATGATCTTGGGGCCAGTGACTGAGGGGGCTCCATACTTGATCTCATAGGCTTGAAGGTACCTTCCCAGGAGTCGGGCGTACCTGAGAGCTGTGCCTGCTGATTTTGGGTCGGTATACCTGTGGAAGAGGGCATAATCAATGACTCCCTCCTTGGAGCTGACGGTCTCGACCAAGTCCATCTCCACCTCGTGGATCACAAGCTCCTCGAAGAGGTGAGTCGCCAGCTTCCGGAACTCTTCCAGCTTGGCTTCCTGGAGGGGGCGGCTACGACGAGGAAGCCCCAAGGGTACATAGGGTGCCACGCGAGAGGGTGCGGCCTCGGACACTGATGGTCGATCTGCCTTCTTTGAGAACTCCCCAAAAATCCCGACCTCTTCCAGTTCTCTGGTGATCCTGCCGGGATCTGCCTCCGGCTCTACCACCGATGGCCCCGGTTCCTCCTCACACTCCTCCTTCACCTCTGGCTTAGGAGGGGGAGGGGCTTGAGAGCTTGCCTTCTTGGTGAAACCAAGCGGCGACTGTCCAGATCCTAATACCCAGGTTGGCGTATCCCGGGATGAACGATCAGAGGACAGATGTGGAGTGGAAGCTGCTGAGGATGAACCCTCTGAGCCAGCAGGCGCCTTTACTGGCTTCTCCGCTTTCTTTTCAATTGTCCACTTTGGAGGGGCTGACCGAAGGCACTCCGGTGGTCTCTCCTCCGAGCGTGACTTAGCCGATGGCCTTGCTGCCGTTTCCTCTTCTCCCTGGATCTCCAGGGGCTGGTCTCCCTCAGATCCACTCCGGATGGCTTCCAGGATCTCACTTGAGGGGATGCCGTTCTCGATCATCCTAGCAATCTCTTCCCGGGCGGACCAAGCTCCGGCAGCGAAGAGCCCGCTGGTCTTACCCAGCTTGGTCCTGTCCCTTCTGGGCGAAACTGCATCCAGTCGTTTGGAGCTGGGTCCTCTTCCTCGGCTGCCGCTGCGACCTCGGCCTCGAGAAAGGTCGAAAACTGTTGCCGGGCGTCCAGCAGGGGACCTATCTTGTGCCCATGGAGGAACAGCCATCTCCCCCCGCTGTTTAAAAGCAGGGAGGCTGTTCGGGCACAACTTGACCCAAAATGGCCACGTTGTTCATTCCGCTGGTCAGACATTTACTTTAGTACCTGTGGCACAATCTGTATATATCTACTATATAAAATTGTCAAGTTCACCCTTGCGCAGAACCTGACATTGAAGCAGCGAAAGCAAAGTGGAGATGCCCGCTTCTCTCAAGGTACAAGCTTTTCGCCGTCCTCTCAATCACAAACCGTGTCTTTTGGCGTGGTCTCTGGGACGGCCACCTCTTTTTGATCCACTTCTGCTCGATTCAACCCCAAACTCATCCGGTTTTTGGGCCTGTGACGGGGCCACTGGCAAAGCTGCCGGGAGGGCAATCCGCCTGCAAGCTGCCCGCCGGCGCTCGGAAGAGCTCCACACGGGAGCAATCGGCAGAGACGGGGCACCAGCAGAGCCTGGCCGTCTTCGAGACGAGGCGCAAGGCGCAGGTGGCGCGGAGTGATGAAGCCCGGCGTTTTAAGCGTTTTAAGTTGGGGGAACCTTTGGGACTAGCTGCATGCACAAGTCTAGGTGAGTTAGGGTGTTGTCCATCTGCGAAGGGCATATTGATCTGATGAATCTCTGGAGCATCTGCCAACTAGAGGGTGATCATCTTAACAATGCATGGCATGTTGGTTGCCAAAACGCAGCTGACTGATGTAAGTTCTGGCCCTCGAATCGGAAGGTTGTGAACTCAAGACATCCTTTTCAGTGGGTTGTGGCCATCTGCATGACTCCTTCCCCTGATGATGGATCAACGCCCAGGGGCTGGTAGACCCCAGGCAGCGCGCTGAAGGGCAGAGTGCCCAGGTTCACCTGACATGAGACGACAGGCCAATACCAAACACCAACTCATGTGCCAACCGGACAAGGCCCCGAGAACGTGGGTACCGCAGACCCGAAAACCGACGTGGACTGCCATGTGGCTCCCCCTGCCTCGAAGCCCACACTGCCCTCCACCACCGGGATGGGCACCGTTAGAGCCTCGAAGCCCTTGGGGCCCAAGCCCTCTGAGGAACCACACGCGCCTGAGGCTTCGGCGCGGGGAGTGGCAAGGCCGGGGTCATGTTTTTTGGGGCTTTCACTGGGAGTTCACTTGGGATCTGCTACCCACAATCATGCAATATGGTTCCCTTGTATGGTTCCCTTGCATGCACGGCTTCTCTTTGGCATGCTCATCCAGGCGCAGCACAAATTTGCTTGATATCGCGGAAGCTCGAGCTCCTAAACGTGGAAAACCTGCTATAATATACAGTAACATAATGTACACAGTGTATATCAGTGTATATGTGTAAATTTTTACAAATATATGGATGAAAATCAGCCATGTTATATATATATATATAGTTAATATATATAGTTCACCTTTTGTTTAGAAAGGCCCAGGTGTAGAACCTCCAGCCATGGTCGTGATTTCATCTCCTGTTCGGCTCCCGTGACCTGTGTTCTTCGTTCCCGGCAGCTCCAGCAGTCTCCATCCGGAAGAAGCCATTTGAACCCCCGCCTTGGGCCAGCCAAAGCTGATCCCCAATCGAGAGGCCAATTCCGGTCAAAGAAATGGTGCAACTGCTGCCCAGCTCGCAGGTGGTCGATCGCACGAACGGTCCGCCTTGGGAGAGGTCGAAGGGATGGCGCACGGAGACGGTGCAAAAGGATGGGTTTGGATGGATTTGTGCTTGGCTATCCTCTTAGTATTTATAATTTATAATCGAGTGACACCCTGGAACCACGAAATCCTCCACAATTACGTGGGATTACGTGGGCCTATTCCACCAGATACGTTTCTGGGAACCCCGGTGGCCCAGAAAATTCACTGCCCAGTCACTGGCGGTCATCAGTCCCACTCGCGCTTTAAAGCCACTGGAGCTGTCGCAGACTTCGCCCAAGCCGGGCCGGCAAAAGCAAATGCGGAAGATCCCCGGGACGGAAAGCCTCAGGCTGAAGTGGTCTTCGGAGCTTTTCGGCAAAAAGGATAAAAATCCGAGCACCCAGGATGAAAATCAAACCTCCTTGGCCAACGCATTGTCCTGGCTTGTCAGCTATTAGCATGGCAGTTCTGAGTTGTTGTCAGCTGATGCTACTGCCTTGGGGAAATGTTCTTGAAGCTGCGCTCAGGGGTTGGTTCCAGATTCCTAGCTAGTCTTTAGAACCCCTTATTCTTAAAGGACATCATGGGCCCTCGGAAAGCTTCATGAAGATCTTGAAGCTACCATGAAAATGTTCTCCCGCAAGGATCCATTCTATCATCGATCCGACTTTTGGGCTGCGCGGTTTCGGACATGAACATTCCACTCCACCGAAGCAGCAAGATCTGGTCGCCCCCATCCAGAAAGGTGAAGTCTGATCCATCGCTGGAGTGCAGGACACCTTGCCCGGGAAATCCGGGGATCGCTGCTCCTCGGATGTCCAACACGCGAAGGCAAAAGCCACCGCTGGACCGAAGCAGCTTTGCTTCCGGCTTTGGACGGCTGGTGCAATTACAGTAGATGTTCCACGGGAGGAAGAAGAAACAAGGATTGTTTGCCCTACCTTCCCCATTTGCCCCTGCTCTTCCAAACCCTCTGCTCACCTAACATGCAGGTCTTAGCGTCCCCTACCACAATCCGACAAAATCCTGAGCAAATCTTTGGGCTGCATGCTGGCACCCAAGACCTTGGACGAGTGTGGCGGCCCAGCATGAGAACATATGAGTTGTCTCTCTCTCTCTCTCTCTCTCTCTCTTGCGCACACCGAGAAACAGTCAATATGTTTGAAGACTATATGGTGACTACACTACATATATATTGTACTATTATATATATACTTACAATATGTACACATGATATAGTAGATAAAGATATTGTATATGATTGCCAAGACCATCCAAGACCAAGACTAGTTGATCATAGCAACAATGGTTCTGTTACTGAGCTGGGAAGAAACTTCATTCAAAACATTCCTGCAAGCTCGTCGGCTACACGGACACCAAAAAAACCGCCGTCATGACGGCGCAGAACGCGGCGCTTGTGCCCAAGCGACCCCGTCCACCTGGCACACCTGTCCCACTGCACATCCGCGTTCCTGATTGGTATTGGGCCCCAAGACTTTCAAGCCTCAGCGCAAAGGCTTCACGCACCGCACCGGTGCAGAGCGGGCGCTCCGGATGTCTCGGGCGGGGCCAAGAAGAACGACGCCCGAACTGTGGAGGGGAAGAACCCAGGTGACCCTTTCCCAACTTCAACATGCCCTGTGGCATGCCCCAAAAGCCCTGAGGTTGGCTCAAAAGTTCGGAGGAAGACGCGCCAAACATTTGGGCTTTGTGTCGCAGGCTCTTTTTATGACCAAATCCCTTGCATAGCGTGTCATAGACGTTCTCCCCTCCAGACATCGCTTATGTGCGAAAAAAGAATCGTCCAGCATCCACGACGTGATCTTCGGGATTGCATGTGGAGGCGCCATCACCACTACACCAGCAAAGCAAATATCCACGCTGGCTAGCGTCCTTGGCGCACAAAACCCAAGCCGAGAAGAAACCTCTGGCCCAAGTCGGCCACGTCGGTAAATTTGATTCTCTTGAACCACTAAGCAGTGCTTTGATGTCGGATGCCAGCATGGGGCACATGGGGCAATCGGTGCAAGCAAGCATCGATCTCAACATGATAATCGCTAGTGCCATCCGAAGTCCCAAAGGTTAGGATGAGCGTCACCCAAAGCCCGTTCCTGCTCAAAGGTTGAAAGAACCCCGTCCCAAGCTGGTTGTCCGGAGAGATGTCAGTCGTCGCAGAGGAGCCACACGCATCACGCTGAATCACGAGATGGTCACTTTCGAGCAATCCAAAGCCAGAAAAGGGCTGCAAATTGTCGCCTTGCTGAGTTGTCCACATGTGTTAACCCTCACACTTTTCCACATGCCACTCAATTGAGATAACTGAGGTAATCATTCGTCCAAACCAAAAGCAGCAACCCCCAAGAGAGTCCATAGAGAAAGCCAAAAAAGATTCCAAACCACAGCCCAGTCGCAGTCCTGACCCCGGACACAATAAAAATCGGCTTGTTGGGGGCCAATGATGAGAAGCCGCCCGGCCGAGAGCAGGAAGGCACCCGCACTGTCACACAGAAGGTCTCCAATATTGGAGCACCAGCCTTGGATCGGAAGACACTGAAGTGCCTCACACCTGGACAGACCGTGGATCAATGTCCCAGGGGACCTGGAAAGGAGCCTTCCCACCTCAATGCCTCCGGGCAGCACACAGTCCTCCAAGCACCCTCTGGGGTGAAGTCCGATGGCGTGCTTCCCCAAACATAGCGGCTACCAGCCTCCGGGCGCGCTATGCCCATGCTATGCCCATCTGATTAAAGTTTACCAACCATCAGCGTGAAAATGGAAAATCGGCCTAACGACATTTTACCACCAATGCCCATTTGGGGGTCACGGATCTGATGCCGCCTCCGTGGCGAATCCTGAAACTCCATTCTCTGCGATGCCGCTCACGAGGCTCTTGGTTTTGGTGCAGTCGTTGGTGAGCGTCAAGAGAAGCCGGTGTCCATCTTGCAACCTGGACAGGGGTTGACGTGTTCATCATCTTTTCATAATCTGTTACTTGTTACCGTTTCGCTTTCTGCCTTGCTTGGTTTCCCACTTTTTCATCCTTTTCATCATCGTCCTTCCTTTCTCTGGCATGCCAGCGCGGCGCTCGCGCCGCGGCCTCGATCCTGTGACGTTCTCGGCGACACAGATCCTGCCAGAGGTACAGTTCCTCGTCTGCTCCGGATCCGGGCGGACGCAGTAGCTGAGATCCTCTGCGCCATCCGAGACCGTCGTGGAACCCAAGACGCAGTCCATGCAGCCGTCGACGGAGGCCACGCCCGTGTCGTTGCTCCACTTGCCGGTCTCACAGGGCAAGCCTCGTCCCAAATCGGAAGAACGAGGAAAGGGGAGAATTTGCTGGAACTCATTCTTGTTCACCAGGTCCATCTTGATTTGAGGTGGACGTGTGCTCATGCAGACACCGCCTTTGGTTGGATTCTGGTGTTATTTTTGGATATATGTCTATATATATAATATATATATAGTATTGTTATATATTGTTATTAGCTGGAATGCCATGACATGGGGTCAACCAGCAGCAATCCATCTAGTTTAACATCGCCTGACAACTCCAATTCAATTCCTCGTGCCTCCGAACATAGCGGTTTGGCGAATGGGATCCGCGGATGGGTTCCAGATATTCCTCTGGAGGACTCTGCCGTCCGGATGGCTGGAAATTCCGGCCTCCCCACCCAACCCTGGAACATATGGGAGGCCTGAAGGCCTCTTGATCCACATCAGCCTCTCAAAAACCGAGCCGAGCTTCAGGACTCCAATGAGGTGGCCGCAACGGTCTGTGAGAAGCGCCCCTCGGGGCAAAGCTCGCAACTGGACATACCCCCAGTGGAGTACCGCCCAGCATCACAGTCGTGACATGCCTTGGATCTGAGCACTGTCACCACTGGCCAAATGAACACGATACAGTCTTTGATCGAAGAAAAAGACCTCTAACATCCTTCCCACCAGTGCTGGTAAAAAACGCCGCTACGTACAAGATGCTGCACGAAAATATTGCACCCCGGGTCAGGGGCAACAAGATATACTTCCAAGGCAAATGTTCGGCAAGAAAACACCTGAAAATAGAAGTTCTGCTTTGCAGCGTCGGTTTACCGCTTCTCCTTGCCCCGAGAAGGTCCCTGCCGGGCAGGAGGTGCACTCGCTGTTGGACGCGTCGCCCTTGTAACGTCCGGGGTCGCAGGTCAGGCACAACGTATTGGCGGGGTAGAAGCCGGCGGCACAAAGGCATTCATCTTCACTCTTGGCATTCGCCACCACTGTGGCTTTGGAAGGGTGGCATGCCTGCCGTTGGGCGCCACCCAAGCAGAAGAAGTTGAAGCCACAGTTGGAACAACTGGACTCACCCGGCAGGCTCAATAGCCCCGGGCCACAGGTGCAAGAGGCATATGAGATCGAACCTTCTTGCCTCAAAGTTGCAACAAAAGTCATCACGAATCAGTCGGAGTGGAACTTTGCATTAATGCCCCCCCCCCCAAAAAAAAAAAAAAACACCCTAGCACCAACTGGACGCTAGGAACAACCTGTTCTTCTCTTTAACTTTACATGATGGCTCATGGCTGATGTGCGAATCCACGGTGCAAAGTGGTCAACTGGACTTCGCCCCCATTTCCCGTGGGGCACTGAGTGCACTCCACATCGGCCACAGAGGATTTGTACTTCCCCACCGGGCAGCGGACACAGCCCACGTCCAAACCACGAGCGCCCGTCGTGGCTGGCTGCATGCCGTGCGGGCAGGCGCACTGCTGCAAACCTTCGATGAGCGCACCATCCGGAAATCCTCACAACTCGGAGCGCTCGTGTCGCACGAGCCGGGGCACAGGTGAGACTTCCTGTTATAGATAGATAGATAGATAGATAGATAGATAAACAGATAGATAGATAGATAGCTAGCTAGCTAGGTAGGTAGATAGACAGATAGATAGATAAATAGATAGATAGATACCATGGCCCGGTCATTCAGCCTGGTCCTGAAACTCCAGGAGTTTCAGGCGTTGCGAGGACTCACTTTCTGACCTCGTTTCCGGGGGTGATGTTCCACACTCCAAGCCCAACTGACGTGGGTGGGGCACGCTTCCGGATGCTTGAACCAAACAAAAGACCCGGTGGGCTGGACTGTCCTAGCCCCTCAGGGCACTGCACTGTGACCGCGGCGATCTGCGTCGGTGGAAACGACTCTGCGGAATCCAAGGCCGTGCCCTTCATGCTGTAGAGGGCCCAAGCACCAAAGACGTCGGAATCAAACTTGGAATAAATCTCCAGAATCAAGGACTCTTCCTTGGTTTGTCTCTTTATTGGTGAACTGCTTATCTTCTTAGCAAACCGGCATCTATATATATATATATACACACACCGTAAAAACGGATACAGTAACGTTTTCCGCAATTTTGTTAGAGAGCCGTGCAGCAAAAGTCTGACCTGCATTTTGCGTGTTAATTGTTGGGATGGTTTCCAGCCAGCCACTCATCCTCCTGTTGCACCTTTCTCCGCTTTACTGGAGGCTCCACTCCACCGATGAACCTTCTACAAGGCTCTAATGCAACCACCATGATCCACCCAGGCTTCTCACGGCAACTGCTTCGTGTCAGTTCGCTATTGCATTGATTCCCTACTGCGCTGCCGGGTGTTTGCGCCGAGAGTCTCGCTTTCGATGCTTTCTTGGTGACTCACGCTTCAAGATAAGCTTTTAAATATTAGACTAAACAAAATGAATCCCAAACGCTTGACAGACAAGCTTCTGAGCTGGAGATGCTGTAGTTCACATACCTGAGCACCATAGAATCATGGAAGTTGGGCTGTGTTTGTGCGACGGGTTGACCCAACCATGGTTGGGCATGAAGCTCTGCCAAACAATGAGGATATTCTTCTTAGCATTTCTGGACAAATCGATGCAAATAGTGCCCATCATGCAGTGACCCCAAAAGAGACGGAAGAGTAAATCCCCCATGTTCTTCACTCCACAGAGTGCAGGGTTGTTTCATGTTCTTTCTACTCCTCAGCCTCCCTAAAAAAAGAGCAACTCTCGCCCAGCGGCGCGGTCTCATTGAAATAGAATGGGACCATGTTGACCGAAAGCCGGTTCATGGGCCACGGCAGCGCTAACAAAGAGTTTCCAATGGCCAGAAAGATCTCGTTCAAGATGGTCACGCTGGAAGCATCTGCAACCTAGTAACGTTTCACCATCAATCCCCCGACAAAAACGGAACATACATTATTGTGTATATGCCCAATCAAATTTGGAATTCCTAGTCATATAGGGGTTGACCAAGTGAAACTCTTCAAACCAAGCAGCTCTCATGGTCCCTTGGAAGATGTAGACTAAGGCCTCCGTGGACGAGAAGCTACCTGGCTCGCGCGAAAAAGGGTGGTCAGAGTGAGAAAAAACGGAGCATGCCGTAGGTTTTGGCTATATTATATATATATATAAACTACTAGCAGTAGTTCAAGAGGTCTTTCTTGTCTGGCACACGCCAAGGCCAAAAAAGAACTCGTGTTTTCCAAAGAACTTGCGTAGCCTCTGATGAAAGATGTGGGGCTGGAGGTGCTTTCATCGAATGGGATCCTTTGAATCCCAAGCCCTGAAAGCGTCGACCCAAACACCATTGGCTGGCGAAAACGGTTCGTGTTGACCCAAAAACTGATTTCGTCTCAGATGGTCGAACCACATTTTCACCCTAAGCCGGATCTAAGAGTTCCCCAAAAAGGAAGCAAAGCTGCAAAAACCAAACTGGGCACGGTGCCAAGCACTCTGCTCAGGTCAGATTTGAACGTGCAAAATTTTCTCTTGACATCTGAGAGGCTGTCACTGAAGCTGGACATCAGCTCCACCAAATCGCTACACGCAAAGCTGTCCGGCAACGGATCCGTGTCAATGGTGTCCCCGGTGCAGTAGCACTCGCGCACGTGGATCGCCCCAGAGGCGGACGTGGTCCCCGGTGGACACCGACCCAAGCATTGCGTGTTGCCCACCGAGTCCTTGTAGGTGCCTGTTCAGGGGGCCTCTGGACAAACACACGGCACCGGGGGTCTTTTCGGAGACCCACGTGAAAAAGAACGGAAAAAGTCTCCCAGTGTTGTGCGAACATGGTGGAGTCCTCAGTCCAACACCTCTTCATGGCAGGACTGCAATGTGAGAGTTGGTCTAAATTAGCTGTCTTCTTCAAGTATCTCTGGTGAGTTCTCTTTTCATCCCTGCCTTCGGCACAAGCCACGCATACGGAGAGCTCTGGGTTCCTTGGGGTCCAGTTTTGATAGCTGCAGGGAGCTGATCAAAATTCCTTCAAGTAGAAATTACCCACATGATGTCATTTTGCGAAGAGTGGTTCCCTCGATCTGCGGGAAAACACCTTGCTTAAAACCCCTTTGGACGGGACTTGACAAAATTCAAACAAGATGAACCCGCTTTTGCGTGTTCAACGCTTCGGCTGAGCTGCCACTCGTAGCCCTCCCGGCATTCGCAGGCCGCCGCCGTCACACTGCCCACCGGCGAGGTGGTCCCGGCCGCGCACTTGGCGATGCCCGACGGCCAGCCACCTTCACCTGGACATCGGATGGGCTGGACGGAAGGGTCACTCAGTGCGGGGCCCAGTGAGGAAGGTGGTGAAGACTACGAGAGGGTCTTGCACATGTTGTTCCTGTGTTTCTGTGGGCCAACTTTGGAATATCCCTTCGTCAGATTGCTGGCGGGGTGCATCACAGAATACATGTGATTGCACTGCAGCCCTTCTGAGTATCAAGAACCAGTGCGTATGGTAGCGAAGCAACGATAAGGGTAAACCCCTTTGAGCTCCAGACAAAAGCCCCTAGATCACTCCCGGGCGCGATTTCGAGCCATAGGTTTGGTGCCTTTGGAACCCAAACAGCTGGACGGGTGAATAATTGTTGTGAGCAACTCTCTCTATTGGTGCTTGGAGACATTCTCAGATTCAGACTCGAGTGGAAACAAAAGCCACAGAAAGTCAACATCAGGAGGACTCCATGCATTGAACCGCTGTCCATTGTTCAACAGCAGCAGGACACAGAAGATCATCAGCTTATCTTCATGCGAAGCAGAACTACATGCAATAGTTTCTATGGAATCTATACGCGCGCAGTTCTTGAATTTGCTCTTGGGACAAAGGTGGACCGTTATATGTTCACAGGTTCATCGAGCACACGCCAACTTGTGATGAAGAGAGGAGTTGGAAAAGTGAGACACTTGGATCAGAGCAGGAAAGACCCCAAGATGGTACAAGTACCAACAAATAGCAATGCTGCAGACATCAACACAAAGCCACTTGGAGGACAAAGAATCAGATACTTGATGGACCTCATTGGTTACTGGCAAAGTGAAGACCAAATCAGAGTAGGAGAGTATAAGAGAAGGGAGTATGAAGGGGAAAAGATTTTGGAGGAAAGGTCAACAAGTGACAACTGGAAATGTTGGGTTGCAGTGATCATCGTGACCATTATCATTGGTTTTGCAGCAGTAATCTTTGTACTTATGGAAGCTCTACAAGCATATTGAGAAGGGCTATGATGAAATGCACTATCGTGTTGAAAAGCGCTATTGGGAATCTTGGGAGCATACTGAGTGGAGAGCAAGCAATGTAGAATACCAGCTCACAGAGTTTGGTAATGACATCAGGGAGTTCGAGAACTATGAGGAAAAAATTGATCTCTTACAGTACACAACTACGCCAGGAGAGTTCATTGTGGGTTAATTCCCAATGGAGGTTTTACTGGGCACGACGTACCAGACCTTCAAACAATCATGGCCTATGATGTGTTAGGAGAGTTGAACGCAGGAAACTTCTTAGCAAGAAGGAGCTTGGAAGACATGCAAGCAACAGAAGGACAATATTGGGGACACGGAGTGATGTTGAAGGCAGCTACAGATGGAGTAACACCATCAGAGGGCCCATTGAACAGAATGTTCAAGATAGGGAAGAGAGAAATACCAATCAGAGAACAATACATCACAGAACAGTCAAGCCAAATGTGTGGTCGACTTGAAGCAAAACTTGGGCAACTCCATGAAAGACATTGGAACCTCATGGGTAGAGGACTGCAAGAGGCAGCAGATGTGGTAGAGAAGGAAATGGAGAAGTATCATGAATTGTTATATAGAGTGCGCCGTCATGAGGAGAGATCATCCAGACAGACCACAAACAGAAGCGTCACCAATCTCTGGGAACCCAGTTCCTTAGAAATACAGAGGACTGTAGAGAAAACGAGAATTCAATGGAAGAAAATGGATTGTGCTTGCAAAGTGAGCTCAAAGAAGCATCTTATAGTTTCACATCGCCAAGAAGGAGTGCGAAACATTTTCCAGATATGTCAGAAAAGATGCGCATAGCACAATGAGCATCACAAAAAAACATGTGATCGCACTGCAGCCCTTTTGAGTATCAAGAAGCCGACTGCCAAACAAGTTGCAAACACATACCACCAAATTTCAAACACACCAACTAAACTCCGCTTGCGGTGGGTGAATGTGGATGATCCTGAGTGAATGGCATAAACCCAACCAAACCTCATGTGATAGTTTCTCACCATCTGTTTACCATCTACTCTTATGGGCGATTGCTCCATAGTCTACTTGTAAAAATTAACTGGTGGTACTGCACCCCAGGATTGGTAGATCCGGAAGGGGGTGCCCTACATGCATGACATTTATTCATCCGTATTAATAGCCGTTTTTCCGCAACATCGACTACGTTTACAAAGGTTCAAAAATAAAACAATGATCAAACCGCATGCCCTCGCTCTCTCCTTCTTGAACCCCAGTTACGCTACTGCAGCCTCAGGCTTAATAAGTACACCCACAACTGATGAACAGGGAGGCGGAGGGTCACTTCGTGAACTCCCCACAGAACACCCAAATCCCAGAAGACTTCATTTAAACCAACAGTACAACCGATATTGTTTCATTTTTTCAAGGCGCCCTTAACAATCCGCCGATCCACCCATGACCAAGCTGTCCAAGCGGCAGTAGTACGATTGCAGGCACCTCTTGCACCGACTGTCGTACCCGGGCGCCAGCTCGTACCAGCCGTTCGCACAAGCCATGTAGACAGTGGCAGCCACGGCGCCGAAGAACCATGGGTCTTCGCATTGCGAAATGTCGGAAAGGACGCACCAGCACCTGGGGAACTGTCCATGACTGATCCAAAACCCGTGAGACTGCGGAAAAAGGTTTGGCCTATCTGGCGTCTGCAAAGGGAATCTAGGCGAACCGTCCAGTGGACCTGCTACAGCAAATTCACTCGCGTACACTGCGCAAACAGCTGGTAGTGCAGCCTTGTGCTTGCGGTTTGACTCAAGCACTTTGCGGTCGCCAACGAACAGCAAAAGGCCGCCATGCGAATGTACTACATTCTACGAGAGACAGCTTTAGACCCTAACGTAGGCTGAGGCTTCTGCTGACGCAAGTCTCTCCAATGTAGACGTATTGTTCTGGAAGTCCTTTTGTCTGTGTCTTCCTCCTTTGAAGTTGCTTTGCCTTCGTCGCCCTGTTCCTAAGCCACGTGTTTGTCGAACCAACTTGCGCGGATCCACAATTTTCGTCAGTGGATCTGCCAATATCAGATCATGGCAGCGATTACCCCGCGGACGCTGTCCGTCACATTCTTCGGCCCCTCGTCATGTAGGAATGGGCCTCCTTCACGTTCACCCGGGATGCGCCACAGACTCTGTTTCATCAAGGCCAACTCGATTGAAAGCCTTTTGACTTCCACCCTGCGTTCAACAAAGAACCAAACAGTGCGCTCACGTGCCAAACTTGTGGCACAGGAGGACAGTTCGTTGGCTCACTGAAGTTGGCAAGGTCGTATCGTCAGCTTTGCTCACAGGCAGAAGTTGTAAGTTGGACCTGTTGGAATGCGTCGATGACAACATGAATTTCACGTCTTTCCACAGAAGGGCTTTGTTCACACCACCTGTTTGCTCCGGCGGCGGCGGCTTGCGCGAAGCTGGCGCCAATCAACCGGAGCTGCCTTCTGCCTGCGAGTGCTGCGCAGCCCCCACCGCACCTTCAAGAACGCAGCCGCACCATTGGCCAGGTCAGCCTGCGCTTTGCGCCCTTACCCTCAGGAAACATAATCTACCTCCGTGACAACTTGGGCATTCCAGCGGCCCCCGCAGCCCACCGCTCTAAACACGCAACTCTAAGATTACGTTTCAGCATTGACGGACCTTGCTCCGCCGCCTGTTGCTGTGCCAGGTGTTTGTAGAATCTTGGGTTTGTTGGCGGGCCTGGTTCTGCTAGCCATCCCATTTCTTGATGACATTACTAAATGTCCTCAACGGACAATGGTACTCGAAAGTGTGATCAGGCGTGTTCCTCTGCCTTCGCATTCACGAAGTGACTTCCTCCTGGCAACAATGTTCTTTGGTTGGGGTCCAGTGATCACCGGGTCATCATTCTCGTTGGCAGGGGATGCGTCGGGATGCGTGAACTCAGGGTCTCTTTTCCACGCATGTCCAATGAATAAAGTTCATGACCTGTGTCCATGTTTTGTCATTGAAAATTCGCGTTCGTCACATCTGCAGATCTTATGTTGAGCCTTTGTCTTGAATTTTGGGCTGCGACCTCACGTCAAAGCATCCAAATGTACGCATCCTTGGTCTTGGCCCCCTCTCCCAACGCAAGTGCTTCTGCAATTCGTTTCAAGATCTGTGTCTTCAGGTGGGTCGACCGACTGCATACCAATCACATGGTTTCTTCTTCGACAGGTCAACTGTTTCTTTTTGCAAGTTCTATCCAATTAAATACTGCAACGTGGTCTACTCAGAGCGACGCGCTGCAACGCGCTGCAAATATGTCTCGTTTCGTCTTCTCGGAAGTTTTCCTGAAGTCATTCCTTTTCTTAGATATTTTGAAAACGCTTCCTCAACCAAGCCCATGCACCTCTTGCAACAACTCTGTCCACAAAGGAGCTGACGCACCCTTGATCATCTGGGGGCGGGGGGGTGCATCTTTTTTTCAGAAACACGCCCCGATTGGGTTCATGACCCATGATCACACCAACGCCCTGGCACGTCACCCATTCACAACCCAGCTCGGCTGGCGACCGCCAGATAGATAGATAGATAGATAGATAAATAGCAGAGAGAGAGAGAGAGGTAAATAGGTAGATGCGTAGATAGATAGACCGACCGACAGACGGACAGACAGACAGATAGACAGACAAGATAAGATAAGATAAGACAAGAAAAAGAAGGAAGGAAGGAAGGAAGGAAGGAGGGAGGGAGGGACGGAAGGAAGGAAGGAAGGAAGGCAGGCAGGAAGGAAGGAAGGCAGGCAGGCAGGAAGGAAGAAAGGAAGGAAGAAAGATAGATAGACAGATAGGTAGATAGGTAGATAGAGTAGGTAAATTAAATAGATTAGGTAGATTAGATAGATGAAGTAGATTAGGTAGATTAGGTACACTAGATCGATTAGGTCGATTAAGATAGGTTAGATTTGATTGATTGATAGATAGATAGATAGATAGTTAGATAGATAGATAGATAGAGAGGAGATAGATTAGACAGATTAAATTAGGGTAGAGTAGAGTAGAGTAGAGTAGTGGAAATAGAATGAAATAGACATAGAAATAAATAGAATAGATAAGAATATAAGAACAGATCAGAATAGAATAGAACAGAATAGAACCGAATAGCATCGAATAGAATAGAAGAGAATAGAACAGAAACTAAATAGAATGGAAAAGAATAGGTCAGAATAATCCTGGCAAACTAAAACATTCACAACGCAGGCTGCGTCATGATGTTCCAAAGCAGCTCCCGGTAAAGACTGGCGTCAGCATCCCTTCAATGGTCTAAAGCCAGCCAGGACACATCTGAACGGCTTCCGCGTGCCCCTCCAAGCTGATCGTCCCTGCGTCGATCTTGTACCCTCCAGTGGCAGGATCTGATTGCAAGGGGAACTGCGGAGGTGGCCAAGAGAAGAACGTCTGCGTGGGAAGCCAAGTGGGGTAGCAGTCTGACAAGGGAGTGATCTTGTCCTCGGCTTGCCGGCTTGGGATGTAAAGGGATCTATAAACTGGTGTGTATTCGTATGTATATATATATATATATTCATACGCGTGTGTGTGTGTGCGTGCTTGGTTCTGATACAGCATGGCGACTAGCATTATTCTTTTGAGTTGCAGTTAGAACACGGCTATATCAGGATGCACGAATGGGGTGAAGATGCATTTGTAAACGTGAACTTCCGTTCTATGGTTGCCACGGGCGCTGCACTGCCTTACTACAAACATGTTTGCGCTGCACTGTACTGCGCCCAAACGTGAATATCCACTGCCTACTTGAGCATCGCGCTCACGTGCGCATATGCCAAGCTTTGTCCGTGCAAGGCACGGTGCCTTTTGACTCACAGTTGGAAAATGTGCCCCTGCTATTGAAGTGCCCATATTCTTTCTGCTGAAGGTCAAACCCAGGGCTTTTGACTTTGGATCATTTGGGGGCGGGACATTGATATAAAATCAAATTCAAACTGTCCCCTATACACACATACAGATGGCCCCACAGGATCACAAGCGGATGTGACCCCTCCCTCCTAAGTCTTTGGAGGCAGAACTTATGCAACTCATCGCCCCATCATCACTTGCAAATACAATGTTGAATGAGTTTAGTGTTCATAAGTGTGTAAGTCTGTTGCGTCAATTTGCCCCTGTCTTCTGCCAGTCTTCCAAGCAATGCTGCGCGATTTGCTTAGCAAAGCACCGTGACTCAGCCGAACTCAAGAGGAGAACTGCATCACTAGCTGAAGTTCCTTGTGCACCAGTAGCGGCCTCTTTTCCTCTCACAACCCTTGTGTTGTGAGAACAGGGACCAACCAGCACAACTGGACCAGCAGCGCCAGAATGTTTTTCCTTTGAAAGATCACAACAAACAGACACCCCGCCCACCGGCGAGTGCAACTACTTTGCCCTTTCACATCCATGGATGTTTAACTTGCAAGGCGTCCACTTTGCGTCGCTTGGCTTTAGGCAAAGTTGTCTCTTGCCAGGCCTTGCTGTCTTTGATCTCTGCATACAGCTCGGCCCCGGCTGCAAGCATTTCTCCCAACATTATCCGCTTTGTCACTTCTTGTCAGAAAATCTGCTTCTACATGCTGCAAGCAAGGGAGCCAACGCAATTCCAAGCTCTAAGCTCACCCTTCTCACACGCTTGCAACGCCAGCTCCCTAAGCAAAGCGCAGACGAAAAATTTGGTTGTCAGCTATCTAGACAGTTGCCCCTGTTCTATTTGCAGCGCAGGAAGTGCGTCCGGCATCAGCGTCACCCATATCAAATTCCACAAACGCAACAAAGCTCGAGCGAAGCAACACATCCCCCTAATCTCGCTTCCGCGCATCAGTCCGGAAGCATTGGTCCGACTGCCGGCGCACGTCAATCGTCCGTCACCAGCTAGCACTTTGGCCAGAAGCAACATAACGAGCTGAGCAAACAATTGCTTTCGACGGCTTGTACAGCGCGCATGTTTTGCGAGAACTGTCACCCAAGCACAAATCCGGCCTAGGAACGGGCGCAGGCGATCTGGTGCTGACAAAGCAAAGGAGGGGCGTGTCAAGTTAGCCTAAAGAGGCTGCACGCGCGACTGAGAGCCCGAGCAAGTTGCCTATCAAATCAAAAGAAAGACCTGCGTAGAAGCGTAGAAGGCCAAAAAAAGCAATCCTAAATCACCAAGAAATAGACGGAGATCTGAGATAGATCACTACCTTTTCGATGCCACCCTTCTTTCGGGCAAGCCATAGGTTACCATAAGAATCATCAATGAAAACCAAAGTGCCATTTCCCCGCCACACAGCACTCTTGTTTAGCCACGGCCACATTGAAGCACTCCAAAAATCACCCACAGTGTAGGATGCCTCAGTTTTGGTCTTGCGCTCGTATTTGCGAGTTGACCTTTTGGCCATGGGCACCATCATGTATGACGGGCAAGTTGCCAAATTTGGCCTTCAAAGCCGTCCTCAAACATGGCACCTACCTCCGCTTCACTAGAGGCTTTTCGCTCGAAGAAAGCTGGCACCCTTGGTAACAGGTTAATACCCGGGCCCTGTAACGAACAGGGGTTGATCCAGCTTCGCGCCCGTCATCTCCGGGCTGCTCAGCGCATACATAGCATCCAGCGCCGAGGCGAGCAAAGCCACCTTTGTGTTTCCAAGCCCGGCCAATCCTCAGCCTCAGCCACCGGAGCTTCAATCTGCCAATCCTCCCAGCCAAAGGCGACGGATGGAAAGAAGCCTCTGAAGGTAGCCTTTCGTGATCTTCAGAGCACTCAACCAACTGGAAAAAAGTAGGGACGAGCAAGACTTGATTTAGCTTATAGATCGCGCGCTTGATAGGAGGGGCACCGCGCCCCTTACACCTTTTGCCATGGCCTGTGGCGTGAGGGCGGCGCCCAACGTCAACATCTTGCTTTCAGGCGCATCTCCACCAGCAAAGGAAGCAAATGACATCGGCCCAATGAAGCGCATAGCGTAAAGCTCAGCCACGCGCGCGACCCGCACTGCCGAACGCACAGCGTTCAGTGCAGTCACGGAGCTATCCCGGACCAGTCAGTAAGCACGCTCGCGCACTTCGCTCTCAAATTATTGCGGCGCAAGGATCCAAGCAGGCATGCCCGCGATCCTCTCACCCGGATGTGGTCGTCAACTTGCGGAAGTCATCCAGGCAACGCTCTGCATGGGAGCCATGGTTGGGCGGAATGCTTTGTGTGAAGCATGCACCGTGTAAGGCCAAAGGCCAATGCGCCATCGAAGCTCTGCACACGCAGGAAGGTGGAACGACAGTCACGCACCCTGACCTGTGAGTCTGGCGATATCCTGACGGGCATCGTCTTCAACCTGCTCCAGCGCTACCAAGGGTTTGCTGGTCAGCTCTTTGTTACGAAGAGCGCCGTGGATGTTCCCGATGGCCTGCCGCATGGCGGCGTACTTGGTGGCGGGCACAACTCAAGACTGCACTCCCGATTTGGCACCTGCCAAATATGCTTCCACTCACGGCGAGCTGCGCGCAGCCAGTAGGGCCATTGCCGCCCGATTTCTGCTCTAGCCGCATAGTCTAGAGGGTGCTCCTTTTGGGCCAATCCCTTTTCTAAGCAAACCCCGAATAAGCGCGCACACTGGCGAAGCCACGCTTGTAGACCTTCAGTTGGGCATTGCTCAATACCCGTCGAGCATTTGTTGCAACCCGCTCTTCTTTCGCAAATTCCTTTCGCAACACTTTCGCTTTCGCGGCTTGCGTTTTGGCTTTCGGACGCTGCATTCTATGCAAAAGCACTGCGTAAGCTTTCGCGGACGGAACTGATTTCGCAAGCTTTCGCAAGCTCTCCGGAACTTCGACAAGCTTTTGCCAATGAACGGCTCGGACAATCTTTTGCGAACCTTTCGCAACTGCATGCTTTGCTTTCGCGAAGACATAATCATTAACCTCTCTTCAAATCGTTACTTGGGAAGTTTTGGCCGCTGCTCACTTGAATCTCCTTGAAAAGTCCGGCCAATGAATGACCCCCCATGAAATGCACCTGCTCAAGCAAAAGGACCCATCCGGCATTCTTGCGAACCTCTGATGCCCAACAAAAAAACTGGTCCCGGGCCCTTCACCCAACCCATGGCGCGTCTTTCACGCCAACAAGCAACTGGCAAGTCCGCGCCATTTATTCGGGCTGAGAGCCCTGCAAGCCCCTTAACCCGAAGGCATGCAGTGCAGAAGGGCTGAAGCGACAATGGAGATGGACACTGTCCGAGAAATACTGATACGGTCCAGCCTCATGCCTCGTCCAATGAACGGCAACTTTCCCACAAGGTGCCATGGGAAGCTGAGTCTGCCCTGGCAACACAAAGGGGAGGTCAGCGTTGCCCTGTGGGTGAAGAACATGACGAAGAACTGCAGATTTGACGACCACTCGCTCTCACTGACCAACCTCGGTCCGTCAGGCTGTCCTGCTTCCCTGCTTCCCAGCAACGTTTACAAGTCTTCAACCCAAACAAAATTGCATTGGCTGTACACGAAGAGCTGTGACACCATGGCCAGTCGCGATGGGAAGAAGTCTGGCTTCACTGAGGGACGCTCAATAATGCGTCAAGAAAAGTGTTCACATCCGGTGGCGGAGCCCGCTGTGATTCCAGAAACTGCTGTAAGCCATCCAGCAAGCCACGAAGGCGTCTTCCTGCAAGGTGGGAGCAATAAGTTTTGAGCAGTGCGGACTTCGTCCAAGCATGGCGTCCCAAGACGGCATCGACAGGAAATTAGGAAGCCATTTGGTCAGGGATAGAATCTGGGGGTATTGCGCCATCACGCGGCGTGTGCCAAATTCATCGTCCAGCGGCAACGGAAAAAGTTTCCCTGAGCAAAAATCATCGCCGAGTCTGCGCAAGTGGCCTAACGCAACCAGCCAAGCGGGGCTCATCACGAAGACGCAATTCACCAAAAAAAATTGGAAACGAATTGTTTCTAAGTGTTGGTGCGGTCCAGAACGCCACTGAAACCATGTTCAGAAAGCTGCAGCGAACTAGGGTCGAATTAGATCACTGGATCGGCTGAAGTCAAGCAAAACCCGTGGCGGAGGATCACACCCGCCAACAGAAACGTTTCCCAACTTCGTGAGCAAACCCACTTACTTGACCGACCGCCAATAACCCATGAAAATGGTGACCGGTCGACCAACGAACATGTCATTCCAAGCCAATCCCCGTTTGTTGCACGCTCGTGTACACGTCCCATGGTGGAGCGGCTCTTAATGCAGTTTCACAGAGAGAGAGAGAGAGAGGTACTTTAAAAAACAATAGAACTCATAATTAAAAATTGACAGGATCATTTTGCTTGGTCCAAGCTCCACTAATTGCCTCGCTAATTGTGAATCCTGTAAAAGCTTTCAATGAACTAATAAAGCATGTGAGCGTCCGTCAACGAGAGGCCCAAACCGCGCAAACCCGTCACCACACAGTCTTGGCCACGAGTGCAGATCTGCGACTGGCCTGGACAGGATCAATTAAGCGGGTCGTCCTAAGGTCCCTGACACTAGCCGTACATAAACGTATGCGTATCCTTTGCCAAAGCCAAATGATCCAAATGATGCGAAGCTAACCCCAAGGTGTCAAGGTGCCAACTTGAGCATTGAAAGCCGAAATTTGCGAATAGAGTCAAACCCACCTGGATACCGTATGGGATGTTTGTGAGTGCCGCACCTGTGTAGGGGCCAACAGCTAGGAACAAGCCGGCTTCCACGTTGAAGTCGCTGCCTTTCTCGCAATCAATGTTTTGGCTCAGGTCCTGCCTCGCATTAGACGCCACGATAGAATCTGGATAGGAGAGCTTGATTTGGTTGAGGCACAACAGCTTTGCAGCGTGGCTGTCGGGCTATCGGCTATCGTTGTTGGAGCATGGTTGAACTCAAAGGTTTTCATTGTCAAAAGGGTGGTTTGGAGATGGGTTTGGTGATGAATTTGTGAGAGGCTGTGTCACAAGAAGTGCACTCCGACATGTTGTTCAACCAGCCAAACAATTCAATGCAAAATATATGAGTACATATGGGTACAACCGCTGCGCTCCATGCGAATAAATCAATTGCAGCAACAAAGTCGACGTTAGGCCTCCCCCCGCCTACACCAACACATTCGGTTCATTCCGGGCTCCACGAAGAGCAGGTCATCCACTGGAAAGAAGAAGTCGAAGCCATTTTGCGTTGTCAAATATGGCGCAGGCAAGCCGGTGAGGAATTCTCCAGTGCCACAGGAGGGCAAAAAGGTCAGTCGATCCCCTGCAGCCAATTGTGTGCCGCCGCTCATCAAGGTCGCCCAACAGAATTGACCTTTGCCACAAATGCCGGAATTGCCATTCTTGGGGCCGGACACGTAGACCGTGCCAAGAAGCGCTTCTAAGTAGTCGCTGCTGCAGCTTGCTCCAAGGGCACTGCACCAGCAAAGGGCATAGGTGTCGGGTGGAAACCACGCCACCCCAAATGCACTCAAGTAGAGGTCATCAGCATCAGCAATGAGACTGTTGGGCCTGCTAGTTACTTGCAGCGGCACTGACATAGCGCCAGCGAACTCTGCCTGTGGAGGGCTGGGTGAAACCCACCCGATTCCCATGTTTTGTCCTTCTGTCCTCTGCTGCGATGTGCCCCAGACCTCTTATGCAAACCCTCCTAATTATATACAACCCCGACTCCACCCTGCAGAAACTGGTGCCTTGCAGGCGGAGCGCACATTGACCAAATCGCTGGATTGAAGTCCAAGTCCTTGGATGGGACCCATATCTTCACAAAGCCTCCCGATGACGCAAACCACGCTTTGATCCGGATAAGGTCCCAAGACGGAGATGGTGCCCGCATCAACCTCATAGTGATGGATGGACCAGCACCCCGTCGCACCACCACACCAGCAAAGGCGATATGTGCCGACCTGGCGGGTGAAACGGCTCAAAGGACGGGCCAATGCACGTACCAAACACGATACACGGCCGCTTCCCAGCATCGCACACGGCCCCCCCGCTTGGACCTGGCCCTGAAAAAGCCCTGACGGCCGCCCGCTTCCTCCCTGGCCCAACCCATTTGAGGAGCTGGTGCACCGAAAAACCGCACCTCGGAGCTGATGGGCCCGGTCCAGGAAAAGTTGTTGGATCCTTGAGATGACATGGGGTCATAGCTAAAGCCGCTCACCTGCGAACCTGGCTCAATGGTCTGTAGCCGGCGCATTATATATCCGCCATAGCCATAGCCGCTGTAATAGTAACTACCATAGCCAATACTGCCCCAATGCTTCCAAAAGTCTTCAGAGCCAGAAGACATGCAAGTGTCGTGCTTCGCCATCAGCTGGTTTGTACTCAACACATCAACACCCTGAAAGTCAGCCACGGAGCACTCCTTTCCTCTGGGGCATTGAAATGTTTGGTTGGGCACTGGCGAAATGCAGTCATTGATGCTCGTGGACCCTGCTGCTTGTGTGGTCAATCCAAGGCATGCCTCACAAGGGGTGCCTCGCCCCACCTCCGCCGAGTACCTTCCCTGAGGGCACTGGGAGCAGTTCGTGTCATAGCCATAGGTGGAGAAGGTTCCAGGGTCACATGCCACACATATAATGGGATTACCCTGCATGACCTTTCCCGCAGGGCATGGCCCACAGGTGGTGCCATTGTCTAGGACTGCCTCGTAATAGCAGGTGTCGCAATAATACGAGCCATCATATGAGGAGTAGGTGCCAGCGGAACAATCAATACATGAAGAGGCGGCATAGTCCGAATACTTGCCTGCTGGGCAAATATCACAGGTGGCACTCCCGTTGAATGAGAAGTATCCACTGCTGCAGTCATTGCAATAGGAGTCTTGAGCTCCTGAAAGCGTATTGGCCACAGTGCGTTCTGCAAGCATGTCAAACAGCGTTTGTCAAACACCAAAAGCCAAATGAACATGATCTAAGCCGTTCAAAACTGACGACCCTCTAGTAGCCCTCTAGCTCCTTTGTACGTTCCACCCGGACACTCTAAGCACTCCGTGGCGTTGTCATTCGCATACCATCCAGGTGGGCAATTCGTGCAGATTGGACTGCCTTCCTGCGAAATCTCCCCATACGGACACTCATAGCAGTAGTTTGACTGTGCCACCGAGGTGGTTCCAGCTGCGCAAGGGGAACAGGCTGCAGCAGCGGAGGAAGCATATCTCCCTGCAGGACATTCTCTACAGTCAGAATTGCCAGTGCCTGCTGCTGCTGTGCCCTCCCAGCAATCATAACATTCAATTGACTCCGACCAGCTATAGCGGCCTTCTGGGCAATCGATGCATGTATTGTTGCTGGCATAGGTCCCCGCAGAACACCTCTCGCAGCTGCTGGAACCAGCTTGAGACACCTGCCCCCAATCGCAGTCATCGCAATAGCCCCATTGATTGTTGTTATACTTTCCTCAGGGGTCGCCATGATCAACCAAGCTGACAAGTGAGCATCCGACCGTGGGCATCCCCAATCATCCGCTCTCGCCACCCCTTGTGAAATCACTCCTCTGAACTCTAGAATGGCCATGTTACCCATCAATACCCTACTCAAACAAGCCCTCACATCAGGAAAGCGAACTTCTCTGCACCTTCTGGGCAGGCAGTACAGGCAGTGTAGTTTGTATCTGGAATGTAGCCAAACTCGCAGGGGCTGCATGTGGAAGAGCCGCTCATGTTGGCCACTCCCGCGATCATGGACCAACCGCAACTCCAACACTCGGTGTTCCCCGGAAAGTTGGCAAATCTCCCTGGAGCGGCGACACTACGGAGCCGGAGCGGAGGGGACCCCTCCGACCGAGGGGATAGCGGAAAGCGGAAAACCATCGGCCTAGGCCGTGAACGGCCGAGTGGAGGTGTGAGCTTCTCAAATGTGACGTGTCACTGCTGATGTCTGTAATGGCTTTGAGTCTCATGAAGGCCCACTGAGAACACACCCCGCACTAGACCCCCCACAACTGATTTGGAACCCTATTTGGAACCCTATGAGTGCCTTAGATGCCTTAGCGCCCGTGAAGGGTGCCAGTCCGGGGCCGGCGCCCTGGAGGGCCCTAAAACCCGGCCTATCTCGCAATCGATGCACGCAGTGGCCGCAAGGCTGTTGGAGGCCTTCCCCAAGGGGCATAAAGAGCAGTATCGTTGATGGACATGCAACCTTAGCCCGACTCTTGGGCAATCTTCACAATCTTCACAAATTAAAAAAACAATACGCATCAAATCAAGCCCTAGTACAGGTGATAATTGGTCTAATGCTTGTGCACATGATCTCACATTACCATGCAGGCATTTCAGTACATTCAGGAATGTATTGAAGGTTGTTTTGAAGGTGATGGTTTTCCATCACTTTCCTCTTCTTTGGCTATACGCAGTGCGTGTCTACATAATTACCTGCTTCGCACCGGCTCGTACGGACCAGTGCATAGGCTAGTCTTTTTAGCACATGAGAACAAACCGTCAAAAGAACTATGTGCCTGGCTGTGCGGTACGCTGCAACTCTTGCAGCTCAGGGAACTTCCAGTTCACTCCGTCATCCTCCAAGTATGTGCCCGGAGGGCAATCATCGCACGACATGCTATTCGCCATCTCCTGGTACTTCCTGAGACTGGCACCCGCAGCTTGTCCGCCGCCGCGTGGGGTGATGGTGAATCGAGCACGGAAACTCCCTCTTGGGACCTTCCCATTTTGATGCAACCCATTTTTTGCAGTGTCATTTTTTGATCAAGATTTGAGAAAAGAATGACGGCGCGCCCATCACCAGGATACTTACTGTAGAAGAAAACTCCTCATGCCACCAAAGCAAAATCAGACATGAACATGGGCCATGCGCATTACCCATACATCTATTGGAGGCTCGTTTGAAGAACGGCCGGTTCACTCTGCTGCATCAGGAACTTGGCAGGCATTCGTGTCCAAAACAGACGGCACATAGTACCTATATAATGTATGAAGAAGAAAATACCTGACACCTGCAGCTGCATGTCCTTTTTCATTGTTTTCTTTGGTCTGCCTCCCTGCCTGCTTGCCTGCCTGCCTGCCTGTCCATGCCAATTGAGGCAGCCTTGTACGCAGTACAGGGTTGGGGTATGTTGGGGCATGGGTACATCGCATCAAGACCAACTGTGGATCAACATGGTTAGTGAGGGTCTGAGCTTGATCTGAGAAAAAGAACCACAAAATCTGCTCAAAGCTTCCCAGCTGGGCATACGTCACAGGCGCTGCTAGTGAAGTTGTAGAAGTAGCCCTCCGAACCTTGAGAAGTCGGGCGGGAGGCCACCACTGGCACAACCGTGAGCAAAAACAACAGTTGGCCTTGCACCAGGTAAACAATCGGTTGCCCACAGTGTTCAGTTGCAATGAATGATAACCATCATTGGACAACAGAGCCCCCTCAATCGTTCCACACACATTCGTCCGCAGCAGCTTGTTTGGCTGACTAGGGCCCTCACAGCTGAAAGCATACCTTGGAGATGGCTTTGCTTGAGGCGTGGAGACGGTTCGGGGGACCTTGAAGGCGTCAACCAGCGCTGATTGGAGGCCCTCCTTGAATTCGACTGCTTCTTTAGAAGGACAGCTGGTGCGGGGCTTGTCATGGAACCTACGGGCAGTCTACTCCTTCGCCCACTGAACTTGGAAAACATGCTCCAGGGAGATTCACCGTGGATCTTTTCCGCAAGCTACACCTTGGCTGAATGAACTGTGTAGTGAAAAGTAAAGGAAACGGAATGGTTTGAACATAGCCGGCTGACAGTTTTGCAGGTACGGTACAAGTGGTTGAGTATTTTCGTTGGACTGGATGGGCAAATCGGTTCCAGCCCCCCTGCTGATACCGCACATGTAGTAGAAGGTAGTGTCCCTAGGAACGGGTGGTGGCACACGCACCGTACCGAGTCGGCACAGCTAGAATAGCGCGACATCAAGAAGAGCCGAACAGAGAGAAAGAGAAAGAGAAAGAGAGAGAAAGAAAAACGAATTATTTTACTTCGAGTGATCCCCACCATGACACTTCAAAACAACCACGTTGACATCAACCTTGTTGTGTATTTCAGCCCATAGCACAAGTCCTTCAGCGCCAAGTCTTACCGTTTTGTCCGAATCAGGAGGCCTGTGCCCAACTAATAATACAACTCAGGTCATTTCACCTGGGAAACTTCCAGGGCCCGAGCAGTAGGAGTAGTAGTCGTCGTCGTCGTAGTCGGAGTCGTAGTCGTAGTAGTAGTAGTAGTAGTAGTACTCGTCCTCGTCCTCGTCCTCGTCCTCGTCGTCGCCGTCGTAGTAGTAGTCGTCGTCGTCGTCCTAGTATTGCGGTGGTAAAAGCAATAGTAGTGCACGGTTCGGGGCCCGACCTTCGGCGCCCGAACCTCGGAACGTCGGGGCCCGAGTACTAGTAGTAGCAGTAGTAGTAGTAGTCGTAGTAGTAGTCGTAGTCGTAGTAGTAGTCGTAGTAGTAGTCGTAGTAGTAGTCGTCGTAGTAGTAGTAGTCGTCGTCGTCGTCGTCAAAGGAAGTTTAGTGTGCAGCAAAACTTCCGCGTTACGGACATTCAAGAACTGTTCAGACACCACTCATCATACACCACTCATCATACACCACTTATCATACACCACTTATCATACACCACTCATCATACACCACTCATCATACACCACTTGTCATACATCACTCATCACCCACCACTTATCATACACCACTTATCATACACCACTTATCATACACCACTTATCATAGACCACTCATCATACATCACTCATCATACACCACTCATCATACACCACTTATCATACACCACTTATCATACACCACTCATCATACACCACTTGTCATACACCACTCATCGTACACCACTCGTCACACACCACTCATCATGCACTACTCATCATCCAGTTAGCTCTAGTTTTGCTCTAGTTTCAATAGCTCTAGCTCCAGTTAGCTCTACTTTCAATAGCTCTAGCTCCAGATGGCTCTGAGCTCTAGCTCCAGTTGGCTCTAGTTTCAAGAGCAGGCGCAATACAAAATGCGTTTTCGAGAGGTAGCGGACGCACGACATGCTGTGTTTTTCAATAGAAAGGGTGGCTCCGAAGCTGGCAAGTGAAGCTTTGCGGAACGACGTGTGCGAGACGGTCTCGGGTCGTGCTCGGATCATGCTCGAATCGTCCCTCCATTGTGGTTAGAGTTTTCACTTGTTTCTTGAAGCGCAGATTTCGTGGCAGGCACAGCACTTTGTGAACCTCCACGCGCAGACTTCGTGGCAGGCGCGGCACTTTGTGAAGATTTCGTGGCAGGCACAGCACTTTGTGAACCTCCATGTGCAGATTTCGTGGTAGGCACAGCACTTTGTGACCTCGAGGTGCAGATTTCGTGGCAGGCACAGCACTTTGTGAACCTCCATGTGCAGATTTCGTAGCAGGCGCAGCACTTTGTGAACCTCGAGGTGCAGATTTTGTGGCAGGCACAGCACTTTGTCAACCTCCACGTGCAGATTTCGTAGCAGGCGCAGCACTTTGTGAACCTCCATGCGCAGATTTCGTGGCAGGCGCAGCACTTTGTGAACCTCCATGCGCAGATTTCGTGGTAAGCACAGCACTTTGTGACCTCGAGGTGCAGATTTCGTGGCAGGCGCAGCACTTTGTGAACCTCCATGTGCAGATTTCGTGGCAGGCACAGCACTTTGCGACCTCGAGGTGCAGATTTCGTGGCGCGCACAGCACTTTGTGAACCTCCATGCGCAGATTTCGTGGCAGACGCAGTACAAAATGCGTTTTCGAGAGATAGCGGACGCACGACACGCTGCATTTTTCAATACAAAGGGTGGCTCCGAACCTGGCAAGTCAAGCTCTGTGGAACGACGTGTGCGGGACGGTCTCGGGCCATGATCATGGTCGGAATCGTCCCTCCATTGTGGTTAGAGTTAGGTTTGTGGAGTGGGGGCCAGTGGAAGGGGTTGTGAAGCAGTGGTTGTCTGAGCGGTGGATTGGTGAGTTGGTTGAGTGGCGGGAGTGGCTGTAGTGTGGGAATGCAATGTGTTGGTGGTGATGCTTGAAGGGGAGCGTGAGGAGTGGTGGAATCAACATGGCTAAGTGGTGGTGGGAGCCCTCCTGTGTGACTGTGCGGTGTTGGTGGATGTTGATGAACTTGCGTGGTGGGGGAGGGCGATATGGTATGGGTGTGAGTGGTGGTGTGGGCGTGGGGTGTGGAGGTGGTACGAATGGTTGATAGGTGAATGGGGAGGATAAGTGTCTGGATATTGGGTAGTCGGTGGGGTGTTTGCGACCATTGTGACTGGCAGCGGTGGGTGTGGTGGTGGTGGAAAACGAATCCGGTGGGGTTGCGGCTGTGGTGGTGGGCGGACGTGTGTGTGTGTGTGGGTCAATGGATTGTGGAAGGTAATAGGTGGTGATTGTTGGGGTTGCAACGCATGTGGAACGAATATGGCCAAGTATAAGTCATGGCTGCGGCCCAGGCCAAGTTCAAAGCAATGAAATATGTACTGTAACAGCAAGTTAGCAAAAGTAGGTTAGTAAATAGTTAGGAAATTCTGCGCATGTAAAAAACGCTTAAAAATTGCGAGTGATGACAAGATTCTGGTGAAAAACTGGGAACATCTCCAGGGGTGAGACAATGTTTGAGAGTAAGTTTCAGTAAGCTCTGCAGCGGTCCTTCACGAGTACCGAGTGAAACGTTTCCGTCAATCACACTTCGAGCATCAAAGTTCAGCAGAGAGATTCAGCAGAAGAATTCAGTCAATTCTGTGGTAAGGAGGGGAGATCAATGCAGTAACGGCGCCCCGCAGGGTTCACACAGCTTACAACAGTAGGAAGAAGCTGCGAAACACACTTAAGATGAGTGCTCCACGGAGCGGGACTTCAGAGAATGCGCGGTGAGCATTACCACTTTAGTGTTACTGCAATTTAGACCTTGACTGAAAGCTGCAGGTTAGACCTTGGCTGGGAAACGGTAAGGTGAAGGAGTCCGCGTCAACAGTATTTTTTGACATGGGTGAGACGAGAGCGAGAGTGTTAAAAAGTATGGAGGTACAGGCACAGGTGGATGGTGGATGATATCAGTCCACCCTTCCCTCGTCATACCGCAGCTTCATTGCGTACGGTGGGTATGACGAGCCGTACGCCCCTGCTGCAGGATAACGAAGCACCGAAGCTTAGCTTGGAGCGCTCATCTCAAGGTGTGTGTGTGTGTGTGTGTGTGTGTCAAACCCCGTTCCAAGGGGCACTAACCTACTCTACTCTATTCCGCTTCAGAAAAAGAAAGCAAAGAAAGAAAGGGGGAGGGAAGGGGGAGGAGGGGGGACTAATGCTCGACGGGTTCCAATGAACCTTAAACTGGCTTTGACCGCTGCGGTCACCTTGTGCCCTGCCGAAATGGCTGGCTGCTTTGACCGCTGCGGCCACGTAAAGGCATGAGCCAACTTGGAATTCCAAAGATGAGACAAACATCCCACTTCTTGCGGCGTAAGCCATCTGCTGTCCGCTCCGGACACTTACGTTTCCAAAGCAAGGGAAACAACGACAAACCCCCGTTCAACGGGTCCACGGGAGGCACTCTGCGGGCTCATCCCGGACCCTCACTGGGAGAGACACACTTATGGATATGCATACGGAACTGAAAGCGGTGCCACACGCCAGCCTAAGAAACCCAAATCCTGAAAGACCCAGGAAAGTCCTAAAGAGCCTGGGGGTCTTCAAGAGGAACGGAAGCCAAAGTCTCAAATCGACGACGAAGCGACAGGGTGACGACGGTCGTACTTGTCTGCCGAGTGAGGTTCTGGGCCTAGCCTCATGCCATCCGGAAAAGGAAAAATGCAGGTACGTCGGTGAGCGTCCCCACCGATATCAGTGTTCAATGCAAGCCTCTTCGTTGGGCTGGCACTTGCATGAACAACCAGCCCCCCTGCTAGAAAGCTCAAAACATCAAAAGCGAGAACAATCCGAAAGGATCCCTGTGATTCCAAGGGTTACACACACACACACCATGAACACCCCAAAAGAATGCAAAAGAATTCCCACACCTGTACACCAGCCGCGATGTCCAAGTGGCGAAGCGGAAAATGCACCAAACCAAAGGAGCTCGCAGATCCACCATGGCTTCATGCCGCACCGCGCAGCTCGATGATACCGTTACTTCACAATAGATCCACCTCGCAGCTCGATGAAGCCCGAAGTCAGATTGTCTACTCGGGTCCGCGTGGTCTGTGCGGGAGAAGTCTAACGTTAGTAAATCTGATTACTGTGTAAACAAAGCGTATTTTCGGCTCTTGCGTGCCGCTCGATGCTCTCAATCCATGTGTGGGCCTCGCTTTGATGATCAGATCATGTTCATTCATTCGCTTGGTGGTCAGGCCATGCTGCGACAATGGCGCGGACCGTGCTCTGGACA